TAAAAGTAAAGATTAATTAAAAAAGCCAAAGTGCCCTTTAACTGGTAGTTCATTTGACAGTTAGGAATAGATCCGTACATCTCAATGGAAACAGGAAGAAATTCTATATATGGGGCATTAAATTGAACATCAGGTTTTGATCTTTGATTTTCTTATTATTTTGATAATTCGAATTTTGGAAACATCTTAATTTAGACTTTGAGAATAAACAATTAACCATAATTGATCTAGCAAAGTCTAGACTCAACGTGGAGTTTATTCAAGCATCTCTTAAACTTGCACCTCTTTCTCACTTCGTAGCACACACCATTTCACACTTTTCTTCACTATGTGCTGTTCTTACACCTCTCCACAGTAAAGCTCTTCATGGCACTTCTAGAAATCTGCTTCGCTGAACCGAGCAGCCGTTTGCATGGCGCTAATGTCTGCTGCTCACGAAGAGAAACACTACTGACAGACCTGCTGTCTAACAAATAATCAAGCAGAGACGGAGGGTGACTCATTAACAGGAATCGTCTGAAAGATTTTCTTTTTATAAGTCTTGTAAGAACAAATACATCGATCATTCCTTCTCACAGCAAGTTTTGCATCTCACACAGTAAAGAAAACAAACATGGTATTTTGAAACATCCTCAGTATAAGATGTCTCCCTTTTATGTAAGACATCTGTAAAGGTCCTTAGTGTGAAATTGAAGACATAGTTTTGTTTTTATTGTCTGATGACGTTGCTGCTGTTTTTGGATCTATTTGGAGCCCAAGAGAGAAATCTGAAACCTTTGATGTAACCAGAAATACACACTAAGACATGAAGCAGGGGAAGAGATAACAGCCCTTCTAGGAAGCCCACTTCAAGTCTTTTTCCAGCTTTTTCACTGGTAAATATTCCAAGGGAACGCAGAACAGTGTAAAAGGGCAAAGGACCGATTTTATATAGGCTTCATAGCTGCCTTAATGTCTCTTCACAACTGACACCTGCACGCAGTGACATAGAAAACCCATCGGCTTGAGAAAACAATACCATCTGTGTTTGTGGCTCATGCCAAACAAATGCAGCATTGTGACAGAAAAAAAGGTCTAAGAGTAATTTATTATGGTGGTTTTAGACTAAAGAACCTATGAAAGTAAATAATGTGAGCCTTAAAGGTATAGTGGAGGATTTTCATGAATTTTTTAAAAGACCTGCCCTCTCTTAAAAAAAAAAAAAATGCACATTCACAACCCTATACCCTCTCCCGAGAGGGAATGCCTTTTAAACGCAAGAAGACCATGCACAGGACCATTTCTCCTTGTGCATGCTCTGTTTAAAAGTTGCTGTTTGCATCGCTCATACAAGCTTACTTTCCCAAAGAAGATTTGCAATTTTTTTCACTATGACAGACTCACCACCGGCAAGGGAAAATGGGGACGAGCACATAGAATGGTCCTACATAAACATATCACCCGAATGATTGACAAACAGGAGGACCACTTATTTTGACGATCCACCCGGAAACATAACCTCCTCCACTATATCTTTAAATAAACAGGATAATGAGCTTTTTTGATCAGTCGTGTTAGGTAAATATTTTTTAATCCGAGCAAGCATAAAAAACGTTTTGCGGAATATAGTAAGTTAAATTAAATTTAGCAGTTTCCATCAAGCTCTTCTAATGCACATGTTTAGTAAGGGCTGGTTATCTTCCCGCAGCAGTGTGTCGCAGTAAGTTTGTCGCATGTATGACGCAGACATTTTTGATTTATGCTCAATTTTGAAGCATCGTCTGCGTTATGTTATTCCGCCGCAACGCAACGAAACATGCTGTTGGTCGAAATACAGGCGGTGAGGAAGTTTATGTTTTCCACAATGGCAGTCATACAAACAAAACAAGCGGGTAAGATAGCAAACAGGAAATACGCATGAGTAGAGCTGATGTAGATTTGCCCAATCAGAGGACTCCTGTCTGCGGCACTGTCTGCGATCACCTACAACTTAAGAGAGTGTCTGCGGAGGGGTCTTTGCATTCACTGCGACACCTACGCAGACGACCTAATTTCAAAGTATAAATCAGCCTTAACTCTGGAGGAGCTGCCAGGTGCAACAGCTCAGGTCTTAGAATCTTTTGTTCTCTCCATAATCTGCTTGTAAATTGTAAATATGAGTGCCAGAAAAAAGCCTCTGATAAAAGAAGCCAAATGGAGTCCCAATTCAGTTTGCCAAAAGAGACTGAATCGGGACTTCATTTGGCTACAGGTTACATGAGGAAGAGGATGCTTTGCTCAGATAAGAACAAAGTTTTATATTCTATGCCTCTTTACTCTTCCTCCAGATTCTGGAACCTTGATTTAGAAATAAAAGGAGAACTTTATTTTCATAGTCTTTTCCTGAGTAAGAGGCTTCTGGTCATTTCTGTGGTTCAGCAGCAACTCGGTGCAGGAGAGACAACATTTATCCAATCCTTGTAAAGTTCCCCAAACTCTTGAATGAGTTTTGGTTACTGATCAATCTTTTCCAACCACAGTTTTTCCTTCCATTAAACTTCTATAATCATACTATGGCATAGCACACTTGGAACATTTGGACATCTAGTCAGCAGGCTTACACCATGGTGGTGTAGCCTACCGACTCAGAAACCATTTAGAGACTCAGCGAATGTTTACAGGTATTCAGAGTTTATTAAATTAATATTTTGTAACAATGTGAATTTTCCTTTTTTTATTTTAACATTGTTATTTATAGAACAGGTTTTAAAATTAGCAAATTAATATTTTATTTCATTTAATAAACATAACTTTTGAGACACACCTGGACTTCCAAACAGCCAAATTGGTCTTTTTTGAAAGCAAGGGGAAAGTCCAGCCTCCTTTTAGCCAGCAGATTGCCAGTCTGCAGCACTAATCTAAGTCCAGGCTTATATCCAACGAAAATGTGAGTCAGAGCTCGAGTTATTTTGCAAAGATGAACAGGCCAAAGAACATTCAGCGTCTGAAGTTTCAGATATATCTCAATGTATTTGCAGCTGTAATTGCAGCAGAGGGCTGCTCTAAAAATGTATTGACTATTTAAGCTGTGTTGGTGTATTGCATAAAGGCAACGATGAAATACAGTGATGTCTGTGGTCGTAAAAAAGACAAAAATGTGTAGAGGTGGAAGGGGCATGGCTGTTTTAGCAATAGTGGTTCTAATAAGTAGATAAATTAAGAGTGGAAATGTGCTGTAAAATCTGATGAGTGTGCCTGAGAGCTGGCTTTAGCTGCGTTCTTCTCTTTTTGACTCCTACAGTCTACCTGATTAAAAATAGCCTCCTCAATATGTGCACATTCACATGATACAAAAGGACATGGCTGTGAAATATGACTCAGTATATTCATCTCATTGTTATTTGTTTTGTTTTTTTCTTCTCAAAGGCAGAGGTGTCCCTGAATTATTGGACTTAACTGCATTCCAGACGATTTCCTCACAACAAACCATATCCTGTCAACCAGAGGCAAACTATTCTACGCTGAAAGGGAGTTAGATAGCAATATGAGGGTAAGACAGAGGAGAGAAAAATACATGAAGGGGGCAGCAAGCTGTGCTCAAACAACAGAGAATTGAGAGAGTGACGTGGGCGGTTGGAAACTCGGAGAGGTTCATGTGTAAATGGATAAGAGAGGAGGATGGTGCAGCAGAACAGACCTGTCCGTCTAACTCCCAGCACATTACAGGACCTTACCATGTCAGCAGCTACGACACAGTGATCAATCACATTGATGCCGCTCATGGAAACACAGATCGAAAGCCAGCAGTCAGGAGAGGACGTGTGAAAGCCAAGACTTCAGTGAGCAAACACTGCAGCATCCAAAAATAAACAAAACCAGTTTGATCTCCTGCTTCTACTTCTGTCCCAGAAACAGGCCACAGTATGAAAGGCTTATTTTATGAACACTGCCCCTCTTCCTCCCCATCACCACTTTGGACTTTTAACTGAGCTTCATAGAGTGTGATGAATGATAAATATCTTATCTTTTATGTTCTGGCTATGCGTTTGTTTTTACATTTTCTGACAGAAGCAGGTCACTCACACAGCTTTGTTGCCATAATACCACGCTCTATGAATTAGACACATTAGAGCTCAGTTTCAGCCTCAGGAGGACATGATGATTACACAAAAACAACGGCTGCAGTGATTGAACTCAGGAAAAAGTGGCTTCAGAGCTTTTCAGTATAAATGTATTTAAGTCGGTCATATATGAGACTTTATGCTTTGGGTAAAAGAAAGCTAAAAAGAAGGAAAAGGCACAGTGAAAAAAGAGCAATCAACTATAAAAAGTGATAAAAGACACTTTATGACGGGAAGACATTTTTATACAAATTTAATATTGTTTCAAAACTGGCTTAGGAACTTTTTCCTTCCACTATACTTTCCATTGACTTGGAAAAGGTGGAAAAAGGACTCTGTGAACATCCGGCTACTTTAGCAGTAACTTTTTATTAACTATATTCAGTGTTTGATATATATGATGGTAATCCCTCACCCCCAACATACATCTATGTAATAAAAACTACTTTTTTTATTGATTTTATCTAATATTCTAATAAGGGATGAGTGGAGGGGATTATATTCCCTGCCTTCATAAAAGTTGTTAGATGACCTGTCTCTTCTAGTGAGTAAAATCCAGATCTAAGGATAAAAGATTACATCTAAGCGGACACACCCCCTCCAGGTCGTGGCATTGAACCAGAGACTGTGCAGTAAACAAATCAGCAGCTGATCCTTCTGGACTGGACCCATTTTTCACAGAAACGGGCCCAATATGTCCGTGTTTTGTTTCCCTCGTTTATCTGCTCAGCCCAACCTGACAGATCAATGCTCATGTTCATTCGCCTACATCTTAATCAAAGCAGAGGAGGTAAAAACGCAGCTTTCTCAGCCACACTAGTCAATCCCCCCCCCCTCCTCCCTCTTTGTGAAATGTGCGCTGCGCGGCGCTGCGCTGCGCTCCTGGCCCCTCTCCTCTCCTCTCTTTCCAAAACATCTCACCTTGTTTGACACATTTGAAGCGGACCGGGTCCTTGCAGTGCTTAATCACGGCCAGCACGTCCCGGGTGGTGAGCCCGGCCACTGGCATGTCGTTGACCTCCAGCAGCAGCTCATCCTGGGCCAGTTTTCCGCTCTGGATCAGTCCCTTCCCCTGCTTCACCTCACCGAAGTAGGGGAACTGGCCGTTTTCCGCGCCCCCCTTCAGCTCGAAGCCCACTTCCCCGTCCTTCCCACGGGTGATCACCGCTTCGTGGACTTTGTTGGTCCAGTGGTTTTTCTTCTTCAGGCTCTTCGACATGGTTCGGGGCGAGTTAATCACCTCGGGCTAGCCCGTACACGAAGCCTCTCCTCACCGTTTCATCCCCGGCTTTGTGTGTGCGACCCCCGGCTGCGGCTCACGGCGCTCCGGGCTCCATCGGTGTTCGCTGAGCGCAGTGTCCGCTTGGAGAGCCGCGCGATCGGGAGGAGAGCTGCAGAACAGCGCGGCGGCGGCGGACGGAGCGATCCTGACTGTGTCAGACACAGACGCAGGAGACAGATCCTGGCGGATGACCCGGATGTGAAGCCTGGAGAAGGGGAGAGATGAATGGTTCTGGTTCGGCGTGAAGCGATGGAGAGAGGAGGCGCTTCTGGTTTACTACTCTGCTGCCAGGGGCGCTTCCCTCGGCTGATCACACACTAGAGATGACATGCAGGAAGAGCAACAGCTTACCCTGCAGGACAGAAAAGATCTGCCTTTTTATGCTTACTCTCCATCATTTACACACGTGTCGAAAATATCTCAAGTTGATTTTATAGTTTAACAGCAAGGCATCAATAATAACGCCTTATTAGAAGTAATTCATATATCATCGCATCTGCTGATAAAAGGCATGAGTCCTGTTATATTTGGGACAAACTACCATACTGTAGTATTTTGGAAAGTATTTCATTACTATGCCTACAGCTAAACATGGTGTTGGTAGTGTCATACTTTGGGACTTTTTTTTTTTTTATCTTTTTAACTGCTTCATGAGTAAAGCTTCAAATACTTTTACACCCTGTGTGTAAAAATGAGCGCAACTGCAGGTACAGTAATAACGGCAATAAATTGTGCAATGTATGATGTGCAATTACTATTTAATACCCATGCAATAACTTGTTTCTTTATATTTGATACCCAGTGCAATAGCTACATATATAAATACCCATTTTTATAAGTGCCCATGTAAATACTCTGTGCAATAACCTTGTATAACAATACTGCTAAATAAGAGCCTTCAGCTGTCATAAATATATATCTATATATATGCATTTAGTGTATGTGTGTGTGTGTGTGTGTGGGCGCACTGTTTAGTTTCAGTTCAGTTTATTTATATAACGCCAATTCACAACACATGTCATCTCAAGGCACTTTACAGTTCAACCAGACGATATAGTCAAATTGATTCAAAGTTTTCTATCTAAGGAAAACCAGTTGATTGCATCGACTCATTGACTCAGATGCAATTCCTCATGCTAAGCATGCTTGTAGCGACAGTGGAGAGGAAAAACTACCTTTTAGCAGAAGGAAACCTCCAGCAGAACCAGGCTCAGTGTGAGCGACCATCTGCCGAGGCAGACTGGGGTTCAAGGAGACAGAGGCAGAGATACAAAAAGAAGCTGTAAAAGGCAGCCCCAAACATCTATAAACAAGGGTGTTGATGGAAGCAGCACAGCTGATATTTCTCTCCATGGTGGTGTCACAGCCAAACAGGAACAGACTGTATATACTGTATATACCCCATGCACATTTTCTTCCTTTTGGCACTTTCGTCTTCTTTTTGACTATTTCTCCAATGTGTGATCAATAAAGTCAATCAATCAATCATTTAATCCATAAATAATTTGGACAATTTTGATGGAACCATAAATTGCACTCTGAAGTAGAAAACCATGAATAAAAACATATATGGCCATTGTTTTTGACTTCAAGCACTCTTGAATAATACGGCATGACAATCACCTCTAACACATTACAGAGTCTGCCTGAACTCAGCAACAGTTTTGGAGTGGTCTAGTCAAAGTCTAGACTTAAATCGAATTGAGCTGATGTGGTTCTCACAGCTGGGCAGAATAAGAGCTAACCTGCTAAGAGGAGAGGGGCAGTTTTCCTCCACAATCATATAAAAGACTTTTTGCTGTTTCATAACATTAGCTGCACCACTGGAGAGACAAGCAGCTGTTAGTTAGAGGGGGGTATAGATAATTATTCACATGGACTGATCCTTGTTAGTGAATCAAAAAATCTTTCAAAAACAATTTTTTTGTATTTTCTTTCAGGCTAGCTTTATTTCAATCTGGGATGAATACATTTAACACATTAAACCGTCTTTTTCATTTTTGTCTCCTTTTTAATAAATAATGTAGGGTAAATACATTTTGATGTAGGGTTATGTTTAACAAGATGAAGGTCCATGCTCCCACAGCTCACTCACTATGATTAACTTCCATTTCGGCCCACTGGAACCATTTTCTGCTCTTTCATATTAAATTTTCCTTTAACAACATTCCCATTTTTTTTTGTAGCTAATCCAAACTTCCAACTCAGTTTATCTCAGTGATTTAGTTTAATAAGTTTCTGTTTTATTTGAATACAGTTCCATTTTTGTACAAAGCACAAATTTGCCATTGACTCTGCAAAGCCGTTTGAACGTCAAACGTTCTTTTTAAATACATCAATAAATAATCAATATATAAACACATTCAAATAAAAATAATGCTTCCAATAAATACTTTAATATAATAAGTCAAACTTTTGTGGAGAAAATCAAAACTACTGATCTGGCAGTATTTCATAAGTCAATCGTTAAGTTAATGGTAGCAGCACCTTTAGCTGTTATATTTCTATCCATAATGTGATTTATGGGGTTTCAAGAGAAAGATTAAGCTTAAACTTTAGATGTAGATAATAAATAGAAGGGAAAAAGTAGGGGAAATAAGCTAACAGAAGAAAATTGGATTGTTTTTTAACCAAATAAAACAGTTATAATAATAGTTTATATTAACTAGCAGCTCTAACTATAAGCTTTATCACATAGGAAAGTTTTATACCAAGCCCTAAAACTGGAAGGTTGTTTAACATGAGAGGAGCCTGATTACTAAAGACCTGCCTCCTATTCTAATATTAGAAACTCAAGGAGCCACCAGTGTAGCTGCTTTATGTGAAATAAAACATGAATTCAGAGAACTGCATCAACGATACAAGGAGAAATCAGATCTCTGTTGTAACATAACTTGATTTTCCATTTCTTTACATAATAAGGAGGGGAGTTATTCAACTTGGGATTTAAAGAAAGACAGCAGAAAAAAGTAAAACAGGCTTTCATCTTAATTTTCATCAGAAATATTCCTGCAGTGTTTTGGATGAGCTGAAGGTTTTTTTTATTATTTTCTTCTCATCTTTGAACCAACTGCTCTATTGTTGAATAGCTCTTTACGGTCTATAGGGTCCCTCCTTTATCTGTAGAATTATTATTATGGAAAGCTTAATTCATATCAGTACTTCAGTTACTGAAAGCTATTATGTAAATTAATTAAACCTTGTCTGATATTTTCTAGTTTTTATGTTTTCGAATAAGTACAATGATTTTCAACATACAGCTTATAAAAACGCAATGTTTAAGAGTAGTACACTCACCGGCCACTTTATTAGGTACCCCATGCTAGTAAC